TTCAGAATTGAGAGAGAAAGCTACTCTATTATACTTTAAACATTGTAAAGAACCCAGTCGACTCCTTTTGACTCCACATTTTCCCAGAAAGATTTCATCTATAAGCGTGGAGTATTTTAGTGCTATCTGTTATGATGAGAAACAAGCTCATATTGTGTGCGGAGTGCATTTGGTAATATTTTCAACAAGTTTCCAATGAAAGAGCATTAATTTACTTTTCCATATATTCAGACAGGAGATTGACTGTATCTGTAAAACTTAACTGTTTTGTGGCAGTAGTGTTGAAAGTCAACAGTGTTTGAAGCTGTGAAAGGTACATACATGTCAGTTTATACACCAGCTCAGAAAGATATATCAACTGATCGTGTTAATTATGAATGTATTAAAAATTGCGTACTGAGTTTCTTACAGCCAGATTCTTTGATATCTGATATTGATATTCATTGATATTCAATGCATATGTCACTACAAATTGCTTCGTCAGTGTTTGAGAAGTATTATTGAATTTTTGCGGACTCCAGTAACAAGGGTTTACCAGCTTTTATTTACAAGCAGTCAAACAATCTCAATGGAGAATTTAAACGGTAAACAAAATCTTAGACCTGAGAATGGCATCTGTAGCTATCTTGTGAAATTCTTCTATTGTGTGATTGATACAGTTTATGTGGAGTATACTGGATTATTTTTTGTATCTCTCTTGTGCCCTTGTTTTTCCTGTGCAGCGACACTTTGAAATAAGTCACGTGCAAGGATTCGGCCGTTGATAATATGGTTTGACCACAATGCATGCCAGGAAGATGGTAATATAATCCTCCTTTGTCTGCTTGTAACTGACTGACTGGTTGATGGAATGAATGATTATATAACTGACTAAATGATTGATTGACTGAGCAACTTACAGTACCAAGATACTGACTAATTGAGCAACTGACTCAGGGGCACCCAACGATGGTTTCCTGCTAAATGCATTGAAAACACTTTTTAGGCTATCCAGAGTACTTTCAGATCTCGAGAAATGCATTCTAAGTGGTGCTATAAAATTTGTATCTGTTCGGTCGTCCTAGGGCAACTTGAATCTCTTCGAAATTACGAGGGCCTCCGTATTATTTTCCCGAAAATTAAGATGCAATTTTACGTTTTACAAAAGTGAGAATTTTTCTGATTCCTCTCTCCATCGCATTTTTGAATCTGAAAATTTTAGGTTTCCTTTTTCTACAAAAAATAGGCTAACTTGGTTACTAAAATGTGAAAAATTAAACTTTAGAAAATCATAGGGAATTTATTAGATATGTTACAAAAATTGAACATGACTGAAACAGTCACCTAGAATTTTTTAGCCTTCCTCAAGCTATAGAAAATTCTAGGCAATTTTTGCTTCTCCGAACAGATATTTTACAGAAAACAGTTGTTGGGTGCCCTTGCTGACCGACAGACTGACTGTGCAACTGGGTATCTGACTGGCTGACTGAGTGACTGATTAATCAACTGACTGAATAACCGGCTGACTAAACTAAGTAACTTACCAAGTGACTGACTTACTGACTTAGTAACTGACTGGGGTCCACAAAGGAGGGGTCAATTTAATAAAGCTTTTACACCCTAAACAAATGAACTTCTTTACTCCATTCCAATGAACTTCAATTTTCTGTTTTCTTGTACAGAGGTTTCTGATAACAACAATTAAACCCAAAAAAGCTATACATAATCAAACCAAATAATAAATACAAAACAAAGAAATGTACACAGAGAAAAAACTAAAGAAATAAACTAGAGGAATTAAAAGAACACACCCACCTGACAGTAGCAAAACTGTCCATAATAATAAGCTTTTCGAACTAATCAGGTGTCTGTAAACTAAGCAAGGTTTGAATGTAGTGGGAAATTGGTCTGTTCTAAAAATTATTGATGAACATCACTGAATATTTTAAACTTTTGTTTCCAGATCAGATGCCACAGAAAGACTGGACAAGGACTTTCATGAGCAAAGATCCTCTGTTATCTTCAGTACCGTATGTGCTCTATGTTTTGCTTTGTAATCCAGCTCTTGAGTGAACCAGATAAACAGGATTGTTGGCCAGGTGATTTCAAAGTTTGATTAAGCTAGTCCAGGGAAAGCTGTCGTAACATAGTTATATTGTACCTAATTCTTTCATTTCACAGTTATTTCACCATCAAGTGTACCACTTTTGGAGTAGAAGTTAATCAAATTATCTTACTTTTTCCAATAAAACAACAACAACAGCAGCAGCAATAAAAACTAAAAAAAAAACGAAACAAAAACGTGCAAAATAAAATGCAACATAAAAGAGCAAAATTCCAAAATAAAATTAAATCAAGTACAGTTGTACAGCTTGGTCAACATTATTATGGTGAAAATAAAAATTGAACTCAGGATCATCCAACTGAGTGTAGTGCTGAACAGCTACAGCTGTTGGTGATTCAGTGACTGACATTTCTAAAGTGTATAAAAGAAATCAACAGGGTTGAACAAATATTTTATTATTGACTTTTGATTAAATAAAATTGGTACTTCAAGACCAAGCAAATAAAATCATTATTTTTAAGGGATGCATTCAGCATTTCTGTTGAACTTTGTATGAATTATTCATTTTACATTAAATAAATGCTACTGATCGCTAGTTTTATGTCTGGAGGGAATGACGATACAAAGACAGCTGAAACACACTGAAATCTTTTTGGTTTCAAGAACAAAAATAATTTGATTGATGTGATTGAAAAGAGACATGCACTTGTTGGTGAAGTACTCATAATCAGAAAACTTAAATGCAAAAACCGTGGTCATTACAGTGTATAAGTTTTCTCCTGGATTAGCATTTATTGACTTTGTTCAACTGTGTCACAACATTTAAACCAATAGCCAAGTTCTGCTGATATGATAATAATAATAACAATGATAATAATAATAATAATAATGATTATTATTATTATTATAAGCTTGTTATTATAGTACAGTACCTGTTAGTGCAGATATGCAGTCCCTATTGTACCCTTCAAATTTCTTACCATGTTGATCTATTCAAATGACTGTCTGACTTAATAATTGATCATGATTGGGATGACTGTGATGACAAGAATAACTAGCATGACTACTGTAACTGGAATGACTGGGATGAATAACATGACTGGGATGACTAGGATGACTGCTATGACTGGGATGACTGATCACTTGGATGACTCGTTGACTGGGATGACTAGGATCACTAGGATGACTGGGACAACTGGGATGACTAGGATGACTAGGACGACTGGGATGACTGGGATGACTGATATGAATGGAATGACTAGGATGACTAGGATCACTGGGATGACTAAATTACCTAGGGTGACTGAAATGATCATCATGACTAGGATGAATAAGATTACTTAGTTGACTACTGTTACTGGGATGATTTAGATGACTGGGATTTTTGGGATGACTAACATGACTGGGATGACTAGGATGACTGGAATGACTAAGATGACTGGCATGACTACCATGACTAGGATGACTGGAATGACTAAGATGACTGGCATGACTACCATGACTAGGATGACTGGAATGGCTGAGACGACTAGGACGACTAGGGTGACTAGGATGACTGGGATAACTAGGACAACTGGAATGACTGAGGCGACTAAGATAACCAGGATGACTGGGGTGACTGGGATGACTGGGATGACTAGGATCACTAGGATGACTGGGATGACTGTGATGACTGGGATCACTAGGATGACTGGAATGACTGGGATGACTAGGATGACTGGGATGACTAGGACTAATGGAATGACTGGGATGACTAGGATGACTTAGTTGACTACTATGAATGGGATGAGCAGGATGACTGGGATGACAACGGTGACTGGGATGACTTGTATGACTACAATAACTGGAATGAGTGGAATGACTGGAAATGATAAAGAAGGCTGGGATTTGTGGGATTACAAACATGACTAAAATGACTAAGATGACTGGGACGACTAGGGTGACTAGGGTGACTGGGATGACTTAGATGACTGAGATCACTAGGATGACTGGGATGACGTGGATGACTACAATGACTGGGCAGACTGGGATGACAAAGATGACTGGGATTTGTGGGATTACAAACATGACCAGAATGACTAAAATGACTGGGATGACTGGGGTGACTAGGGTGACTGGGACGACTTGGTTGACTGGGATGACTGGGACGACTAGGACGACTAGGTTGACTGGGATGAATGGGATGACTAGGACGACTGGGATGACTAGGGTGACTTGGTTGACTGGAATAACTAGGTTAACTGGGATGACTGGGATAACTAGGATGACTGGGATGACTAGGATCACTAGGATCACTAGGACGACTGGGATGGCTGGGATGACTAGGGTCACTAGGACGACTAGGATGACTAGGATCAGCAGGACGACTGGGATGACTGGGATGACTAGGATCACTAGGATGACTAGGATGACTGGAATGACTGGGATGACTAGGATCACTAGGATGACTGGGATGACTAGGATCACTAGGACGACTGGGATGACTGGGATGACTACGGTCTCTAGGACGACTGGGATGACTAGGATCACTAGGATGACTGGGATGACTGGGATGACTAGGATCACTAGGACGACTAGGATGACTGGGATGACTAGGATCATTAGGATGACTGGGATGACTGGGATGACAAGGATCACTAGGATGACTGGGATGACTGGTGTGACTGGAATGACTGGGATGACTAAGATCACTAGGACGACTGGGATGACTAGGATCACTAGGACGACTAGGATGACTGGGATCACTAGGACAACTGGGATGACTGGGATGACTAGGATCACTAAGACGACTGGGATGACTGGGATGACTGGGATGACTAGGATCACTAGGACGACTGGGATGACTGGGATGACTAGGATGACTGGGATGACAAGGACAACTGGGATGACTACGATCACTAGGACGACTGGGATGACAAGGATCACTAGGATGACTGGTATGACTGGAATGACTGGGATGACTAGAATCACTAGTACGACTGGGATGACTAGGATGACTGGAATGACTGGGATAACTAGGATCACTTGGATCACTAGGACGACTGGGATGACCAGGATCACTAGGACGACTGGGATGACTGGGATGACTGGGATCACTAGGACAACTGGGATGACTGGGATGACTAGGATCACTAGGACGACTGGGATGACTGGGATGACTAGGACGACTGGGATGACTGGGGTGACTAGGATGACTGGGGTGACTAGGGTGACTAGGATCACTAGGACGACTGGGATGACTGGGATGACAGGGATGACTGGGATGACTGGTGTGACTGGGATGACTGGGATGACTAAGATCACTAGGACGACTGGGATGACTGGGATGACTAGGATCAGTAGGACGACTGGGATGACTGGGATGACAAGGATCACCAGGATGACTGGGATGACTGGTGTGACTGTAATGACTGGGATGACTAAGATCACTAGGACGACTGGGATGACTGGGATGACTAGGACGACTGGGATGACTGGGATGACTAGGATCACTAAGACGACTGGGATGACTAGGACGACTGGGATGACTGGGGTGACTAGGATCACTAGAACAACTGGGATGACTGGGATGACTAGGATCACTGGGATGACTGGGATGACAACTATGACTCTGATGACTGGAATGACACTGATTTTTCAGATTACTGAGGGGAGTGGGATAACATGACTGCAATGACTAGGATGTTTAAATTGACTTGGGTGACTCGGATGACTGGAATGACTGGGATGATTATGGTAACTGGGGTGATTGGGGGGACCAGGATGACTTGGATGACACAGTTGACTGGGATTTGTGGGAGGACTAGTATCAGTGGATTGACTTGGATGAGTACTACGACTTGGATGACTGGGATGACTAGGGTTACTTGTATGACTCGGATGATTCGAGTGACTGTGATGACTGGGACGACTATGGTGACTGGAATGACTGGGATGACTCTGAGGGGTGGGGTGACTGTAATGGATAAGGTGACTAGGATGACTAGGACGTTTAAAGTCAAACTGAATAACTGACTGTCTGTTGATGTTTATTCTGACTGACCAGAATCAGTGCAGAATAGTCTGACATTTAACCCAACTGTTTCAAAAGACAGACCGATGTTTGAACTGACCTGTATGATAGCTGAAGGGTCCGACCAATTCACAGTGGCCTTATTTTGGATTCGTACTTTAATGGTATAGTTGGTAGACTGCATATCTGTGCTGACTCGTATATTCGTTTTCTGTGAACTTGATGAGTGCATTTCAGATCCCTTCTTGCTTCCAACCAGCAATTTCCCAGCATGGAAATATGTCTTAGGAAATTCTGAATACACTTCACATTGATAATGTGCAGTGTAGTGCTTCTTGCTGGCTGCTAGTTATTTCAACGATTACAATAGTTATACAACCAATCAACTCATCAGCCAACCTAAGACAACGTTTGATGGGGGGTGAGGGGTGGGAGGAGAGGAGCGTTTCTTCTTAGGTAAAATTGCAGGCGTAAATTGTTAAATTCACTGCCATTTTCATTCCCACGTTCGGGGAAAATTTAGGCTACACAGTTTTCATCACAAGAAAAAAGGATTTGACATGGGTGAACTGGATTGTTCCTTTAATTTGTTTTAATTGATTGTCAATTTGGATAGCGTGCCTAATCTTCAAACCTCTTTGTGGAAAACAGCAACAAGTGCTTTGAGTATGAATCTTGTGGCTCTCATTCTGACATTCGTTAAATTAATTCTGCCAATATAATCAGTCTACTGCTTGCAAAGTGGAAGAAGAATTACACAACAACATCAACAACATCATCAACAACAACAGCAACACTGAAATGATTAAAATAGAGTCACCATTAAAAATTTCTGCCGCAGTGTTTTAAAGTTCGTTTGACAAGCACTGAGTAAAACTGGGCGTGGAAAATTTAGTGTGCTTCTGAGGAAGTAAAGTTGGTAGATTTTGAAAACTTGCACTCATCTTTTTCAATTCCATAATGATCAACATGTTATTTCTCTTTACTTCTTTGAGTAAATTACCAAGCAGAAGGGTTTTGAAAATAACATAATTATTGTGAAAGGGGAGGCTTTGTCTTGATCAACTGTGAAATTCTCAGAACTGATGGTAAACAAAATCCGCAACAGTTAGTAAAGAAAATAACGTGTTAAAACTTGGGACTGAAAGTTCACAGTAACCTAAGGGCCTTCAGATAAGCAGTTTGTTTTGCAGTAACAATGGAATTCCTGAATACATGTGCAAATTGAAATTCTTATTAACATCAACTCGTATCAAACTTGGAGTCTTTTTTTCGGCCGTTATTTTGGCTCGTCACGCAAAGTCGTGAAGCCAAAAAACGACCGCGACGAAGATCACACGGAAGTTTGACATCGGATTTATAGCATAGTGATGTTTTTTCGGTTAGGTTTTTTTCTTTGTGCATGTATTTTGTGGGATGCCGTTTAATGAAAAACAAACTGTTTGCTGGAAAAGTCTGAAATTTGTTCCCTCATGTTTTTCCAACTTTTGGAGCACAAGCAATCAAAGACGGCAGCAACAATGGCACCTAACAGAAGGCTTCATATGCACGCTCGCTTTTATTTTTTGCGCATTTATTCGCTTTTCTATGCAAAAAAAAAATGCAAGAATGTGGTAAACAGAAGTTGAAGGTTTTGAGAACGCAAACATTTAGCCATGTAATATCAAATTCAAAACGCGCGCGAACAAAGTTCAAATTAATAGGTAAATTTAAAATGCTGAGAAAATTAAAACAACAAAAGGCTTTCCCAGCTCGCTCGCTGTCATTTTGTTGCACATTTATTCGCTTTTGTACGCAAAACAACAAGAAAAGTAATAATAAAAAATTCAAGGATTTGAGACGGAACAGAAACATTTAGCCTTCAAATATCAAATTCAAAACGTGCGGGTACAAAGTTTAAATTAAAAGGTAAATCTCCTAAAATGCTGAGGAAATTCAGACAATAAATGATGTTCGCATAACTGCTAATTATTTTTTCAAGTGCCGATCTTGCTGCCGTCGCTTTGTTGATTGCTTAAAGCTTTATAATATGCAAAGCAGAACTTTTGTAAGGCTTGGACAAACAGTGAAACATTACGCGCAGTAACTTTGCATTGTGTTTCCATTTCCATAGTTATAAAGCAAATTTTTTTTTGCTTTGAAACATTTCGGACACGGTCTTCGGGGGTGGAAATACAGTGTAATTTTAAGGCTGGTTTTTACTCGCAGCGTACCACAGACTTAAGTTTAGCGAGGTCATCAACAACTGAAGTGTATTAAAATCCAAAGCTGAAGGTGTGAGCACAAAGATTATTCTTGTTTTCTCGTCGTAAAGGATTAACACAACACGAGCTGAGCACAACAAAACAAACTTTGTTTTGGTTTATCTTGCTTGTGCTTGTGTTGTGTTAATTCGTTGCGCGGAAGAAGAATTATAATAAGTGCGTGGGTTTCCTAAAGTTGTGTTTATGCTTTTTGTTGTTGATGTCTTTACTAAACTGACGCTTGTGTTCATGTCCTTAGTAAAAACCAGCCTTTACTGCGTGTAATGTTTTACTGTGTCTGAGCCTTAACGGGGTTTATCTGGTTCACTCAAGTAGTTGGATTACAAAGTAAACAGCACAGGTACTGAAGATAACAGTATTTTATTGAACGAATAAAGCTTGTCTCTGTTGTCCATTTATTTACAATAAAAAAATACCAAAAAAAAGTAATCTAGCCTCCCCCGTCCCTGCCGAGCTGCTTCCACTCCGCTCCGAGTCGGTGTTCATTCTTCTGTCCTCATTTGATATTCCAACTTTAAAATCCTGGTCTGTTCTATCTGATCCCTTCCTTCAAGCTGGGGGCAGTTGGACACCTAGAAAATTTGGCCGTTTGTCCCCAAGTGGGGAGGGCAGCGTGAAGGAAAGTGAGAGTCTGCTCCTCATGCCCTCAGGGTCTCATTCAACTTTGTCACAATACCACACCAAATCAATTTGGAATTAAAATTAGCCAAAACAATTTGTAGTGAAAATTATAATTTTGGTTTGAAAGTGCGTGTCTGCAAAGTCAATATATCGTGAAAAATATCCAGAGTCGTGGACAAGAAAAAAGAGGGCGCAAGACAGTGAAACTCAGTCTTCAGTGGGTCTCCGTCATCGATGCCCAGAAAATTGAACAAAGAATCGCGCTGGTCTGACCGACCTTCATCCCACAAACTTCACCAAAGAGCACAAGTCAATAATAATCTCTCCTCTGCGAAGCTACTGATATTGGATTTCTCTCGTCCTAGTTATTGTTTTTTATTTATTGTTTAGACCTACATTAAAGGAAATTTGGAAGTCAAAATTACGCGGATTGTTTACGCTTCGTTTATTATTGCTGTTATTCTAAAGAGTCGAAATTATCTGAAAGTAATAAAGCGAAACATTAAGAAGCACAATTTACGCAGTACTGCTACAGTGCCGCGTAAATTGGGCTTTAAATATTTCGTTTTATGTCTTGAAATTAGTTCCCCTTATAATCTAATGTTGAATTTGTTTAAATCAGTGCCGCATAGTTTCGCCGTCAAATTTCGCCAAACTAAAGGGATTAAAGCGATCTTGAAAGTTGATTTAAATATTTGCTTGTTTTGCTTCCCGTAGAAATAATTCGATTAATTCTCTCATTGGAATAAAGGTTTATTTCTACCTTAAGAAACTAATGCGAACGAAATGTGAAGCAAAATTTAATGTTTCAGTTCCTAAAAAAATTTTGGATTCGATAGCAAGTCTTTAAACCTTTAAATCTTTATGTTTTTCTGCATAATAATTAATTAAATAATCCTATCTTTAAGTTCCCACGAGATTTGAAACTTTAGTCACGATGGTCACGCTAGCCGACTGTACCAGCATTGCGTGACGACGGTGACAATAGCCCAAATAGCGTGGAAATACGGTCGTGACTGGAATGGATACTTCAAATCGGGATTCCGATAAATGACTGGAACTAGCCAAATATATAATTTTTAATATGAAAAATTGATCTTAAGTATATGGTTCCAGACCTATATCCGAAACCCTAATTTGAAGCATCAATTGAAGTCACCACCGAGAAATTGCCTTACAGCGTGAAAAGTTAATGTTTATTCTAGCTGTTTACATAAGGCTATCCGAAATTTAGGTCAAGTTGACCTGATTTTTCACACAGCCCGAGGAAATCTATTCTACGTCCTCCTTAAAAATAAGGATATAGAGCAGATTACCACAGCTGTCTGATTTATCAAGTATTTCCTTATTTCGAAAATGGTTTAGTATCTAAAGCTGATATTTTTAGTCTAACATCAACAGCCATGTTTGTTTGCCTATTGTTTTCAGTTGACCAAAAAACAACAGGTAAAAAAAAAACAGATGTTGATGTAACCTAAACTTAGTTTTGATAAATTTGTTACAATATGACGTAGGAAAAAGATGGAAATGAAATGAATTTGGACCTATTTGTGAGCGTTGTTTTGTTTTTATGGTTTTAGTTAAATTTTCAGATGGAAATGAAATAAATTTTGACCTATTTTGGATTGTTGTTTCGTTTTTACGGTTTTAGTTAAATTTTCAGCTAGTCGAAAAATATCAGCACAAAATTTGGCAAATATGGAAATGGTTTATATGCTAATTTTGTTTTTGTGCAATACTTTGGAAAGCTATTTATTGTTAGAAAATGAAAAGCTTTAGGGTTAGAAGAGAAATCCTTAACCAGTTGCCCCCCATTAGAGAGATTCTTAGAGACTATCAGCTTAATTTGATGTCATCTGTGAAAATCCACCCAAGCCAGACCAATGCCACTCAGTGCTCAGTTCTCTGCCCTCGAATCATCCGTCGACACACCTACTGCGTGAGCCGGGGAGCACGTTCTTGCACCCCCGTTTTTCGTCCTCAACAGTGAAACATTCCCAGACATATTGTTTGCAGACAAGCAACTTTCTTGATCGAAATGGTTATCTATTTATTTTTTTGGAAAAAGGTGTGGCATTATAACAAAATGAATGAAACTCTA